TTATTATTATCCCCAAGAAATATTGTTTGAGTGGGAAAAATTCCAGGAGCGCATAAAATATAAAACTAAAATATGGAAACAATAGGCTATATGTAGCCTAAGAAGAAAATGAGGAATGCAGCATGATTAATCAAAGTGAACAAAACGATTGAATTATTATTTAAAAGAAAAAGACAAAGGTTAAATGGGTTTCTCTCTCCCCCAGTGACCCCTTTCTCTGGTTCCATTGCGCGGCCCGTCATGGCGCACCGCCGCCAGCAGAGGCCGCTGCGCACCAACATGTTGCTGCGGAGGGAGATAACGGGAGAGGTGTGTGATGAACCCGGGATGTGTTGAGGCTCCCTCCCGCACAGAATCAATAAAAAGAAGAAAACACCTTGATCGAGGCGCAGACGAGCCGGCACCGGAGCGGCGCGCCTCGGCTCTGCCGCGGAGACGATCACACCGCCGGAATGTGAGCATGTTTACTGGAGGTGGTGGGGGGGTGGAAACGCGCTCGGACATTTATTCAGCTCTCTTTCAAGTCTTCTTCCAGCAGCATAACTGCAGACGCGGGGACACCTCCACTGCCCCCCCTCCTCCACCACCACCGCAGCCAGCACCACTAGACGGGAACCTATAATTGGAGGCGAGCCAGTGACGCGCTGAAAATAACCAGGTTAGTACCGGTCCATTTTGGGGAGGGCCCAAGCGACACGAGGGCGCAGCACCATATATCACCTCCTTCCAGCTGTTTGGAAAGATCCTGCGCGTAATGTCGAGGCTGCAGCACGGAGAGCAGCAGAATGATTGTTTCTCTCTCATGTCTCCTGCTTCTGGTTCATATGTGCAGAATGGAAACTGGGCGCGGGACTGGGCGCGGGACTGGGTGCGCACCGGAGATTTCACGGCGAGACGAAGGCAAGGAGGAAAAGAAGAGGTGGAGGGGGGAGACTGGCACAAGGCGCGACACTGTTGCATGTTTTTTCCCCTCCTCCTCTTTGTACAGACAGGGGACAAAGATTGACAATGGAGGAGGATGAGGAGGGGGGACTTGTCCCAGAAGACAATTCGTAATTCGTCCCCACCTCTCAGGCCAGGGAAAAAGGATATTCTTGCTCAGTTTGGGGATGCGTGCAAAGTGATCACATATTAGTTGGGCGGCGGTGGACTGGGGGAAGTTCAACTCCTTCCTGAAGAAAAGTCCTCATGGGCTGCGGGGATGCAGACATCTGCCCGGTGCGCGCGGGGGGACACCATCCAAACCTCCAAACACCGACTGACACCTCCTGTTTGGGTATGTATGAACCATCCTACACCACTTTGAAACTCAGGACTCTGAAGGATCTGGAGTCTTAGGCTGTTTGGAAAAGCTCAGGTGAACACCTGGACTCCTCCTCGTGCATGATGATGATGATGATGATGATGATGATGGTGTGTGTGTCAGAGGCTGGGTCTTTGCGGGCAAGGTGAGTCCTCACTTCATTCAACTGGCCTACAAAGTCCCAGTTTCTGGCTCATGTGACCCACAATCCCAAGACTGGACTCTTCTGGCATGCTTTAAAGAAACCACACAGGGACCAGATGCAGGGTTAGAAGAATATAAAAAATACTGCAACACAATCTCAAAAAAGAGGCTATTTAATCTGTATTAATAATACTTTTAGGAAAATATCAACAGCGAGGTGAAGCTATTAGATTACCAATCGAAAATATAACAAATGAGTAAAGTTAAAAAGATAAAATAAAAATAAAAAAGTGCTCAAAGGGTTTTTAAATTCACAATGAACCATTTATACGTTAAGAAGCTAAACGCCACATTTCAGATTTAAGATCTGTAATTCATTAGTCCGGTGCTGAAAGTAGATGTTTAACAAACGCTGGAACTTTCACGAGCCAGTTCTTTACAAAAAAAAAAAATAAAAAAAAAGTTCTGTTTTCCTAAGCTGGCCTCATTCTTCTGAGCAGTATTTGATTAACTGTAATACAAATGTTTTTTTTTTTCTTAACGTGATCAAATATAAGCCATGTTGGACAAAGTTAAAACTTCTAGTCATCTTCTTGGATTCATCCAAAAACAAAAATAAAACAACAAAAGAAAATTAGCATTTGTAGTATTATTTCATTAGCATTTGAGTCCCAAACCTCTGAAGACTTAAGTTAATTAAAAAAAAAAAAGCAGAGGTCAAGCTGTGAAAAATCACAACGTGCCCGCAGCGTTACGTGGAAGCAGCGTGTCAAGTGGGCGAGCGTTTAGGTTCGGAGGCCTGTTTCTATATCTGTCCTGACCCTGGCGTGCCGAGCATACCTCGCTAATGAATTCAGCATCCCCACACTAGATGTTTTATGTAATAAATGGAGCGTCCGGGGGCCACTGTGGCATCTTTGTGCTGCAAGTTAACACATAGGTGAGATATTTGCTGAAGCGTGTAATCCTCATTAAACAGAAGACCACGGGCATTTAAAAATAAAATCAATAAACCAAGACCTAAAGAGGTGGTGTAAATGACATCACAATAGCTGCGAAGCCCTTCCCCAGATCTGTCAGTTTTATTTACTGGACTGTTAAAACTAATAAGCAGAGGTTATTTTAGGCCATGCTTAACACATCGGTGGCAGGTCATTTGTTTTTATTTGCCTGCTGTTACTTGTTGCTGTGAAGTTGACACTTGGGTAAACCTGCAGCTCTAATAAAATTCCTTCCGACTGTGCAGGTGACATCCTGTCACTTATTAACTCTCCTAAGTAGATATTATATTTTACACTCGTGCGCTGCTTGTGGAGTGGAAATGCTACATCACATTGCATTGAGACGCCTCAGAAAGCAGGTTAAGAAATAATATTAATATTCATAATAATAATAATAATAAAAGCTCAGCTTAGCCAGCACGAGTGTGAGAGCTGAAGGCCTGGGAGTGGAGGTTTAGTGGAATGAACCTGGTTTGAATAAAGCAGCGTGGCCACAGGGAGCTCTGGGATAGTCACCAAGTTTGCTGATTAAAGCTGTGATATTAAACAGCGCTGGCCGCTGCCGCTGCCTGCTAAACCTCTCTCTGTGGCGTTTCACATTGTTTAAAAAGCCCGAGCGGGCTCATCTCGCCACTTGTTGCACTACTTTTCTTTTTTTTTTTTTTTTCCTTTTCTCACCACGTCTGTCTCATATTCTCCCCTCGCCGTTTGTTTAGCAGGGCCCTACTTTAAATAGACTTTTCCTACGATTCCCCAGCAGTCCCGCTCTCTGGGTCAACGGGTTCGGCCGGTTCTTAAAGTAAACATTGCGTCTCGAGCAGCATCATATAAGAAGCGTTGCCGAGGGGTTTAGGTTCTCCCTCTCTCTTTGAAAGCTGAACTAATGAACACGAGGGGCGCTCCTTCTCAGAAACTCGGCCGTGAACTCGTTCAACCCCCGCTTTTAAAAACGCCACTGCGAATCCCAATAAAACTCTGCCATTATAAATACACAATTCATAAATACTGGAAAGCAGGCAGAGTTTTCACTGTAATAAAGGAACTGGCTTCCTCGAAAAGGTCACATGCTGTGGTCACTTCAGCGTTGTTGGGTTTAGTTTTTTTTTTTTTTTGAACAGACACCAAACATACGGACAGAATTGCATTTGGATGAGCTGGCGAGAGTTGCTGTTTGATCTTGAAAAAGTTTGGAATGAGAGACAAATATTACGTTAGGGGGAGAGAGAGAGAGAGAGAAAAGGCAGCAAGAAAAGTGAGGGACTTTTAGGGGCAGCTGTGTTTTATTAACCCAGTCATAATGCCCCTAAAAATCCTTATTGCTCTTGCAATGGTCAACAAGTCTCCTGTTGCAGCATGCCGAGGCTCTCTGAGCAACAACGGAGGGACTCGCACCCAAAGGACCCGCCGCACCGCACGGCCAAGGCACATTTCAGTTCCACACAAGCGGGTCACTGAGGTTAGGCTGAGATTTTTTAACCTCATAGTAGTCACAGAGCTTCACTGAGCTGCAGAGAGCGAGACGAGAGGAAGGATACAGACTGATGAAGTCGTGCAGCAACCTTCTGCAGATTGTTCCACGATTCTGACAAAGATGCAGATGTTGGACGCTGTCGGGGAACTGCTCAGACAGAATGAAAAGTGTTTCTATGCAGATGATATCACAGCTTCTCGCAGGGAGGAGCAGACCTGTGATGTTGGCTTTTTTGTGCCTAAGTTCMCCTGGTTTATTATTAATATGCAGACGGGGAAGTCACCATGCTGTGTCCTGTGCTTTGACATTGCTGGAGTACCAGGGGACACTTGAAGACAGGCTGGTGGGGAGTCTGAATAATACGATGTGCTGGCCAGCAGAGGAGTCCTCGCTGTTGCAGAATATGTAGATGTTCGGTTAAAACGGTGATGGAGTCGGACGTCGGGCTCGTGGAAGGACGTGCAGCTAGGCTCGGGCGTGGTGTCGGTGGGCCGACGCAGCTGGAGAGCAGGCTGCGTGGAGGTCTCGGCGTTGCTGAGTGAGTCATCGAAAGGGAGGCTAATCTGGATAGTTTCCCCCCGTAGAGCGGCGGCTGCTGGAGGAAGGAAGAGCCCTCTTCACAGACGAGGGGAGAGGGCGTGAGGGAAAGTGTGGACGATGACTCAGGGTCACGGAGCACATGGAGGTGGGAGTGGAGGAGGGAGGGAGGGAGGGAGGGAGGGAGGAATTACTCATCGGAGCATGTGGACTCTCATACGGCTATCACAGGACAGGCAGTGTGCTTCCCCCCACGGCTGTCAGTCCCAGAGGCACCAGCTGAGCAGCGGGCTGGGAGGTGTGTGTGTGTGTGTGTGTGTGTGTGTGTGTGTGTGTGTGTGTGTGTGTGTGTGTGTGTGTGTGTGTGTGTGTGTG